GAGCCGGCACCCTACTCACTGAGCCACAGGCTCCGCGCTGCACGATCTATTTTTAAAGTGGCTCCTTTCTGAGACAGTCTTGCTTTGTTGCCCAGGCCAGTGTGCAGTGGCATCAACAGCAATCTCAAACTGCTGGGATCAAGTGATGATTCTCCTGCCTCAGCCTCCTGAGGCGCTGGGACTATAAGTGCCCAGCACAACACTTGGCTAATTTTCCTATTTTTTGTAGAGACGGGGTCTCTTATTCAGGCTGATTTTGAACTCCTGAGCTCAAGGGATCCTTGCACTTCAGCCTCCCAGAGTGCTAGGATTATATAGGGATGAGCCACCACACTTGACCTAAAATGACTTTGAACTATGACTTCTCTTTTTTTTTTTTGCAGTTTTGACCAGGGCCAAGTTTGAACCTGCCACCCCCAATATATGGGGCTGGGACCCTACTCCTTGAGTCACAGGCACCACCCTGGTATTTTGTTTTGTTTTTAGAGAAAAAGTCTCACTCTGTCACCCTCAGTAGAATCTGTGACAGCATAGCTCACAGCAACCTCCAGCTCTTGGGCTTAGGTGATTCTCCTGCCTCAGCCACCTGAGTAGCTGGGACTACAGGTACCCGCCAGAAGCCTGGCTATTTTTTTGTTGTTGCAGTTTGGCCTGGGCCGTGTTTGAACCCGCCACCCTCAGTATATGGGGCAGGCACCCTACTAAGCCACGGGCACCGCCTATGACTTCTCTTAAAGCAAAGGTCACAGCCAGCAGGGACACAGGCTCTGGACCCCGGAGGCTTGACAGTGCTGCTTTCCTGGCCTTCACTTTGCCTGCAAATGCCACCACCACCCACCAACTGCTGGGTGAATGGTGCTGGCTGAGTCTGAAGATAAAGGGGACTGCCACGTCCCTACCTGCGTGGGGTCCTGAAAAGCAAACACCGTGGGCACAGCATTGTGCTTCAGGTTTTTGCGGTTTCCAAAGGCACTGAAGCACTCAGGTTTGAAGTGTTCAGAGCAGATGACTGTGTGCTGCTTGGGCTTGAAGTTGCCCCGGCCGATGTTCAGCACCCACTCCTTCAGCAGCTCGGGGCGGCTGAATGGGAACCTATGGGGCCAAAGCAGAACATGTGAGACCTAGCAGAGCTGAATTCAGTGCTTCAGAGTCTTGTAGAATTTTCACACCACCACTGACTATTTTACTGGAGCTTTGGAAATTCAGTAATCTCACTTTGTTAAATCACATTGAATTTCTGGAAGCTTCTGTCATGGTTGTCTCAGCATCCTAAATAAGAAACCTGAGACCGTGAACATGGCCTATGGGCCCAAGGGAGCTTTTTTGGAAGCTCCATTTGCCAGAAGCCTGCCATGTGCAGGGTCCTGTTCTTGGTGCTGGGGATGTGAGAGTGAACAAGAACGTCTCCCCGCAAGGAGCCTACATCCTAGAAAAGGGAGACAGCCCCTAAACCACGAGAAGGCAGATCTCCATCTATTTTGAAAGCCACACAATAAGGTCTGACTGTGGGGCACGAAACACAGAAGGAATTTTGAGTTTCCAATGGTAGTGGCTACCAGAGGGGCAGGTTGGATGATCAGAAGTTTGTTTTAGGTACTATATTTGAGGTGTTTTAAATTTTTTTCCCCTGAGACAGAGTCTCACTCTGTTCTTTTTTTTCTTTTTTTCTTGCAGTTTTTGGCAGGGGCCGAGTTTGAACCCGCCACCTCCAGTATATGGGGCCGGTGCCCTACTCCTTGAGCCACAGGTGCCGCCCTTTTCTTTGTTTGTTTTTGTTTTTTGAGACAGAGTTTCACTTTCGCCCCAATAAAAGTGCCATAGCATCATAGCTCACAGCAACCTCAAACTCTTGGGCTAAGCAATTCTCTTGCCTCAGCCTCCCAAGTAGCTGGGACTACAAGTGCCCGGCTATTTTTTGTTACAGTTGTCATTGTTGTTTCAGCTGGCCCGGACCAGGTTCAAACCCACCACCCTCGGTGTATGTGACTGGCGCTGTAACCACTGTGATATCAGCACTAAGCCCAGTCTCACTCTGTTGTCCCAGGCTAGAGTATCATGGCCTTAGCTTAGCTCTCAGCAACCTCAAACTCTTGGGCTTGAGCTATCCTCTTGCTTCAGCCTCCTGAGTAGCTGGGACTCCAGGCGCCCCACAACGCCCAGCTAGTTTTTCCATTTTTAGTAGAGACAGGGTCTCTTATTCAGGCTGGTCTTTTTTTTTTTTTTTTTGAGACCGAGCCTCAAGCTGTCCCCCTGGGTAGAGTGCCGTGGCATTACAGCTCACAGCAACCTCCAACTCCTGGGCTCAAGTGAGTCTCCTGCCTCTGCCTCCCAACTAGCTGGGACCACAGGCGCCCACCACAACGCCCGGCTATTTTTTGGTTGCAGCCGTCATTGTTGTTTGGCGGGTCCGGGCTGGGGATTCGAACCCTCCACCTTAGGTGTATGTGGCTGGCGCCTTAGCCGGTTGAGCTATAGGCTCCGAGCCCAGGCTGGTCTTAAACTCTTGAACTCAAGGGATCCTCCCACCTCAGCCTCCCAAAGTGCTAGGATTATAGGCCTGAGCCACGACGCCCACTCTTGAAGTACTTTCTGTTCCTGTGGAGTGGCAGGTGGGCACATTTGTCTGGAGATGTCAGTGGGGTGGACCCCACATAGCCCATAAGCCTGGGTGAGATCGGTGCCCTGGGCAGCCAGTTTAGATTGGCACTATCACTGGATCATTGCCCACACCCCAAGTACTCCCCCACCTATGACAAAGAAAGAGGGCAGAGTAGTGTCCTAGAGGCCAACGGGAAAAGCAATCGCAGGTCAACGATCAGCATGTCAAATGCTACAGAGGCAGGTTAAGATGAGGACAGACACCTCAATTTGGCATCATAAAGCTCACTGGTGACGTGACAGAGCCCTTTTGTGAGAGCAGGAACGGCTTCAAACAGGGGGCGGCGCTGTCCCAGGCACATACCCAGTGGAAACAAGCAGGCACAGGCACTGTCCAGGACAGCGTACCTGCCACAGCCAAAACTCTTAGAACGGATAAACTCCAGTATAATGTGTTTAATGGAGTACTAGACAGTGATCAAAGGGGATGACAGACGGCAGGCCACAGTTTCCCAGGGGGAGGTGGGAAGGCAGTCTGGGTGTGAGGTCTCTCGGGGGCTGTTAAGGCTCCAACTCAGTGGTGTGCACCTGATGAAAACGCACGGGGCTGTGTACTTACGGTCTTTGCATTTTTGTGTGTGTTGTACTTCAATCAAAACATTACTACGAAAGAGTGCAATGGGGGTAGGTGTGAAAAACCAGCTCAAGGCCCCTGAAGAGCTGTGCTCTGAACGGGGCCGAGAACCCGTGGAGAACCCGGGCACCGCAGGGCGCGAGTGCGCTCTCCTGGGCAGGGTCGCAGACCCGGCACCTCCCAGCCCCCCCCGCCAAGTCCCTTCCCAGCGCCCAGACACCTTGGAGGGCTCTCATTCCTTCCCTGCAGCCGCCCAGGTCCTTCCTTCAGGACCTGGCGCGCGGCGGGGCTTAGCAGGACCGCGGCCCCGGGTACACTCCTTCGGCTAAGCACCTACCACGGCCTGGACGCAGCCGAGAAGTGGGGCCAGGAGGCCAGCGGAGCAACGCGCACAGGCCGCTGGTCTCCCCGCGGCCGAGCCGAGGCAGCGCCAGACCTCTCGGCCCATCCCCCGGGCCCGGCGGCGGCACGCCCTCGGGCCTCCCCAGCTATCCTGCCCCGCGCGCCAAGGCCTCCGAGCTCCCTCGAGCTCCCTCAGGGCCCCGGGTCTGGGTCTCGCGCGCCCTGGCGCCCTGGCCTCTCACCGGTGGAAGGTAAGCTGCTTCCTGCGGCTGCTGTAGCGGTTGCAGCACTGGCGGGCCGCGCAGGACTTCGGCATCTCCGCAGCCGGGCCCGGCTGCCCCTAACAAAGATGGCGGCCGCGGCGCCTGCAGAACGCGCGGGGCGGGGCCGCCGGGGCCACTGGGAGCGAGAGGCGGGCCTGGCTTGGCTCCAGGGCGCGCTAGCCCGGAGGTCCCCGCAGCCCCCGGAGGTCGGATGGGTCCTGAGCGCCACGTCTAGATACTCGCGGCCCCTCGCGGCCCCACCTCAGGCCCGACACCCAACCCCCATCCTTGGGCCGACGTTAGTCCTCCCCAGTTCTCTAAAACCGGTCGCCCATCCCATTGCTTTGCGCCCCCGCAAAACATTCGGCCACTAACAGCCGAGGATGACCGGAAACGAGAAAGACCCAACCTCAATTTAGTCTACGTATTTAAGGCTCCGAGAGGCGTTAATAAACAGGTTTAGCTCCTCTGACGTCGCTGGAGAAGGGACTAATTGGCCACTGGTTGGTCTCAGATCAGAAGCCAGTAGAGGTTCAGGCACTGGGAACCCAAGAGCAGATGGGCTCCCGCAGGGAGATTCCCATACGGGCCTGCAGAGCCTCACAAAGCTGGCTAACCATTCACTTGGGTTAAGAAGCTAATCCAGAATTTCACGAAGAAACTTAAAGCTACTCATGTCTACTCAATGCTGTAGTCTGTCCCTTAAGAATTCACTAGAGAAGTTTATTTAAAGAGCCCTGGGGGGTGGCGCCTGTGTCTCAAAGGGGTAGGGCGCCGGCTCCATATGCTGGAGGTGGCAGGTTCAAACCCAGCCCCGGCCAAAAACAGTAAAAAAAAAAAAAAAGAATTTAAAGAGCCCTGGGCAGGCAGGGCACGGTGGCTCACCCCTGTAATCCTAATGGATTGCTTGAGTTAGAGACCACCCTGAACAAAAGTGAGACCCTGTCTCTACTAAAAAGATAGAAAAAAACTGAGACTGTGTCTCAAAAAAAAAAAAAATTTTTTTTTTTTTTGGAAAAAAAAGCCGTGGGCATTTTTCAGTTCTCGATATTCAACTCAGACTTTTATTCCTGGGGTCCTCAAGTAATGTTTGGGGGGGGGGGTGATGATGGGGGAAGAAACACAATTGTCCTTCAGCACAGAAGCAAACACCTGAAGCTAGGCATGAACCTCAAAGTAGCAATATATTTATTTACAAAATATACAGTTTCACAGAAACAGCTTCGCTTTATACACATAAACTTTAAAATTACACAGAACCATGTAAACGATGTTAAGTGTCTGGCCTGGCCAAAGCCCATGGGAGGGGCCTACACTGGGGATAACATCTTCTGTCCCCTCACTTCATTAGCCACCAACCAGGAGCCCCTGGATGGGTCATGCCTAATTTGCATATAGAAGCTGATTGCAGCTGCCCAGCTCAATCTAACACAAAAAAACCAAGGTGTCTGACCTAAGACACCACCCACAGGGATAGATCTGTTAAAAGAACAAAAATGCAATCAAGAAACAGAAACCGAGATGAATATCAAATGCATTCCAGAGGCATCAAACCTTCCAGCACCGCAACAATCTTAGGCATTGGCAGTTCCACTCTAAAATCAGTCATATTCAAATGCACTTTAAAAATCTCATGTTGTTTTTAAAAAAAGAAAAATGCTTTGGAACTTTGGTTATTCTCATGGTGAAGACACTGGACAGGCATTGTCATGGGGCAGATCTTTGGCAAATTCCTCTCCACCTCATCTTGGATGTTTGCCCTAGTCAGAGCCAGACAACCGTCTGGAGAGGTTGTTTCTAAACCAGCTTACTATTTTTCTCTGCAGAACAGTTTCTCCCTTGGGGATCCTCACAATAAACTGGGTTTCAGAAACTATTTCTCTCTCCTTGTATGTTAACATAAGCAACAGAATGTTTTTTAAAAAGACAGTTGACTGGACAAGTGTGAAAGATACTGGGACAAAAAATAGGCTCTGAATAGCCAAATTACAGTTCAAGCCCCTTGGTGCTTCAGTGAGAGAATGTGGAAAGTCTGCCTGGCCCTGCACAAGGTGCCACATGAAGGGACAGCTCCCTGGCAGGGATACCACAGGCCCACCCTGCTGCAAATAAATATTACTAATGTGGGCAATCTTTCCCTTTCCATGCCTTACAAGAAACAATGCTTATGAAAACATTCAATTTACAAAACACATCTGAGAATAAGTATTGAACTGCTAAAGAGCAATGTCAATTTTGGAGAAAACTGAACCCCTCTTCTCCCTCTCAGCTCCGGAACCACCAGTGTCCTGGGCTGCACTGCCCTGGAACAGAGAGTTCTGCAGGGACTCGCAGCACAAACTCCCTGGTTTCTCCTGAGCTAGGCCTCCAGGGGCCTCCCCAGTTCAGGATGCTAGTAAAGACCTAAGGAACTCCACACAGGTCAATGATACATTCCTGAAGGCCTCAGTTATCCTATTGCTCACTCAACAAAATAAACCAAAAAAAGGGTCCAAGTCCTGACCTTGCCCCATGGTAGCAGCAGGCCAGCCTGCGTAAGGGGCACACTAAGACCTACGCATGTGAGAGGTCTCTCTCCTAATTTTCCTTTACCCATAATTTAGAGGAACCCCATTTGGGTCCCAGTGATTGCCTAACCTCTATGTTGCTACCAGACTAAGGTGAGTGGAACAGATGAGGAATGAACCTAAGCACCCCCACATTTGAAAACAGTTAGCCTAGGCCTCCCTAGGACACCTCATACACCCACTGGAGAGAAGAGCACTCAGCAAGAAATCGCCCAATACTTTTGGCTGTATCGTGCAAAAAGAAGGTTTTTTACATCGTGCAAAACAGGAAACTGAGTTGTGAACACAGGCTACCTCAACCCCCCACCAACCCCCTTTTCCACAGAGAAGGGGCCACATTGTCCCTTTTAACAAACACAAGGAAACCTAAGAAACACAAGCCACGGCATGGATCGTCTCAGAGTGAGGCCAGAGGGTTCCCACCAGCAGCTCCTGTGGACAGGTGACGGTGAGGCAGAGGGAGCTACTAAGGGGAAGCTTTGACAGGTGCTGCACAGACACTTTTGGTAAAAGACTTAACACACAAGAAAAAGCTTACACATATGGCTGTTCATTAACAGGCTGGGGAAACTAAACAACTTCCCTCCCCAGCACAGCGGTAGCAGGACTAACAGATAAGCACTTGTTCCAATTGGCGGGAATTTGTTAACAATGATAGCAAAAACTCACAACTACCATGTACCCTCATTTTCAGCTGAACCAAACCCACTGCACTTGGGTGTTTAGTCCACCCCCACTGCAGAGAACGCGGCTCTGGCAGCAGCTTTGGCCAACAAAGATTTTATTCGGTCACTATGTACAGTTTCTACCTTGGACAGCCTGTCCTTTTGCTTAGGCACCTGAATGGCAGGGATCTGCCCGCACCAGAGCGGAGAGTTCTGTGCTCAACTAAGAGAGGGCCAGGAAGCCCGTCGTCCCTTTCAATTCCTCGCCTGCAGCCTCCTCACCCGCAGCAGTCAGTCCAGAAACAGCTTCCGGGAGCCCATGCGGGAGCGGTTGGAGCGGCGGATGTCAAACTTGGAGTCCCGGCACTTTTGGCAGACAAACACTTCCGGAACGTTGGATTTCCGGATTTTTGCACAGGACAGGTGAATCCAGGTGTGGCACTCATTACACTCGATCATGGGGCGGCCCGCAAATGGTTTCATGCAGAAGCAGGTGACGAGGTCCCAGGAATCATCATCTGCAGGAGAAAAAACAAAAGAAACCAAACAAATGAGAAGGGAGGCGACCTTTCATCCCTCCCTCCCCACCAGCAAGCTGCTTGGTCTGACAGGAGTAGCAGCAGAGTTCAACAAAATTGGTTACCCCTAACAAAAAACCGCCTTCACCCTTAACTGATGCTTCTCTCTAAAAATGCAGAAATTGAACAAAAAGCACCAAAATGTGGGGCAACCCAGGAGAGGTTTATTGATGAGCTACACAACTTTTACACTGAGATCTGTCTTGCAATCTTGGCTCTCTCCAGCAGAGATTGACCCCTTCCTGAGCACCTCGGTATCCACCTTCCAGCACTTTCCTCCTCCCTGGAGATGGTGGGACACTCTGCTATCACACTCCACAGAAGGAACCTGGCCCTCTATCCCAGAGAGCTGACCACTTAAAATAACTTCTCCTCTAAACACCAGCAAACAAGCGTGTCCACCCTACAGGACACTTACCGGAATCCACCATTATGTCTTCATCATTGCCAGTGCTGTCCTCATCTCGGAACACCACCTGCTTTCCCTGCCGGACGATAGTCCGTTTGCCTTCAGTTTTTATTTCTTTGCCCTGATCAGGTGACACAGTGGCACAAGACCCACTCGAGGGTGTGTCAGAGTCCCAACCCGAGCAGGGGTCACTAGGGGCCTGGGGGATATCCTGCAAGGTGGGGCTCGTGGGGTTCTCCCCATAGGCATCAGCAGTGTCAATCTTCAGCAAGTTACCCCTGTACCCCTCCTTCTCAGGCACATCACTGTCCCTTCGCTTCCTCTTCTTCTTCTTCTTTAGTTTGTCTGTCTTCTTTCTGTCCAGCAGGAAGTTGCTGGGTTTGGCTCGCTGCAAGAGAGTGGGCTGCAGGTGGCTAAAGCAGCGGTTGGAGACTGGCAAGGGCACCGAGGATGTGATGTCAGTGAAACCAGTGTCCCAGCTGTCACTGTCAATAGTGCCAGCGGTGCTGTTGGCAGGGCTGGGGCTGCTCCTCAAAGGGAGTTCCTACAGGGATGGAGGCAAAGGTGGTAGATTTTAGTTGCTGAGACTGGTCCCCCAGCAGAGCAACCCCAGCCCTCCCTCAGCCACAGGCCTTTGTAATGTGTTCCTACGGCCTTGAGCGTCTTAGTTTCAAGAAACAGCATCGTTACTAGTTTAATATGACACCTTGAGGGGAGAAATCACCTCCCCTTGCTGAACCCTCGGCCTCCAACCCAAGCACTGAGTGGCATCTGGGGAAAGGAATGCTGCAGACACTATCTCTTATCCTCCTACCTTTCCCTCACTGCCAAACCTCTCCTTCCATTTGCCTTCCCAAGAGATTTTTTTTTAATTAAGTGAATTTAAATAGGCTTTGAGAATTTCCTGACAATCTTAAAAAACTGGACACTTCCCAAAATATTGCAAAAACAAAGTAGGTAATTACTGCCCCAAAGTAGTGAGCTAAACTCTATAGTTGTTTCAGATGATTCAAGCACAGGGCCACACTGCTCAGCACAAAGCAAGCATCATCCTATACGGTAAGTAGAAATAATAAAACCAATACTGGGATTTTGCCTCCTGAAAACCATGGATTCTTTTTATTATTTTATTTTATTTTTTTTTTAGACAGTCTCAAGCTATCACCCCAGGTAATGTTGTGGCGTCATAGCTCACAGCAACCTCCAACTCTTAGGCTTAATCGATTCTCTTGCCTCAGCCTCCCAAGTAGCTGCGATTATAGGTGCCTGCCACAACACCCGGCTATTTTGTTGTTGCAGTTGCACCGGCCCCATATACTGAGGGTAGCAGATTCAAACCTGGCCCCAGCCAAACTACAACAAAAAAATAGCCAGGTGTTGTGAAGGGTACCTGTAATCTCAGCTACTCAGAGGCTGAGGCAAGAGAATTGCCTAAGCCCAGGAGGTGGAGGTTGCTGTGAGCTGTGACACCATGGCACTCTACCAAGGGTGACAAAGTGAGACTTTGTTTCTAAATCAAACAAAAATAATAATTATAAAAAAAAAATTGGGGGGAACAGCACCCGTGGCTCAAAGGAATAGGGCACCGGCTCCATATACCGGAGGTAATAGGTTCAAACCCAGCCCCAGCCAAAAAACTGCAAAAAAAAAAAAAAAATTATTAAGTCATTTCTAGACAAACCTGTGCTTTCTCTTTTTTTGTTTGTTTTTTGGGGTTTTTTTTTGGGGGGGGGGTTGTTGCAGTTCCCTGGCTGATCAAAGTTCCCAAGAAACAGATTTCTGCAGGACCACTGCCTGAGATCATCCTGAGCAACCCTCCCAGATCCACTGCCCCAGTGCATTGGTCAGCCACCCAAGAGCATGCAGTGAGGGAACCCAGGTCTGTGCTCAGCAAAAAGTCTCCAGAACTCAGATGATTACCTCCTTCGGATAAGGGATATAACCAGCATAGGCCAAGACAAAGGTGCAGAATTTGTTGAAGTCTTCCACAGTCCTGCGCCTCTTGTAACTTGGGGAATATTCCTGTTAACAGGAGAAAAGAATATGTTTGCAGGAGACACTTCTAGGCAGAATCACAGAAACAATACAAGCCAGCTGGGCTTCTCCGCCAACCACTCAAAAAGCACACTGTTAGATTTAAAGACAGTCTAGAAACAAGATAAGTAAGTTCAGGTTAAGAAATAACACCAATTTCAGGAAGTTGAGAGACGAGTGTTGAGATTTTATGCCAAGAACGCTGGGAAACTGGCTGGAGATAAAAGCTTGTACAAAAGTCTACTTCTTAGCACTCACAGGGCATTTTCTGACCGTATCTATTAGTCCCTGCAAGGTCTATCAGGAGTTCTAGTAACTACATTTTCTGCTAGATTTTACACTTTGAATATCAACTGGGGCTGCAGCTGTAACTAAAGTATTTTAAGTGATTTCAAAAGTCAACTAATTCTTATCCTTCAGAGTTTGGTCAGGCCTGGGACCCTAAAGCTGAAAAATGTGCCCCTCTGGCAACCCAGTTAGGGGTGCCTGAGGGCCCACTCACTTCTGCGCAGAGGGGCCATGCACCCAAAGGTTTTCCAACTCAAGAGAATAAGCCAGAAACATTCCTGCTAGGCTTAACTGCACATTTAACATGGAATACTAGAGATTTCTGCTTTTAAATCCCACCCTCATTCAATGTAGAAACACATAAGGGATTTCCTCCCAAGAACCAGCAATGGGAGAAACACTCCTGGTTTGCTCGGATTGGAACAACTGTGCTTCATTACAGTTCATTTGCCTAGAGTGTCAGGGAGGTGGTGTCCTTTAAGTACTTCAACGCCCACACCCTCCATCCTGACCTAGGTGCTCAGTTAATCTTCCCAAAGGTTGGAGACCAAGGCCTCAGGCTAGATGAAAGGGGGGGGGGGGGCAGTGGGACAGCAGAGGACCTAGTTAAGAGGAAAGAGCCTAGAGGCTAGAGGCCAGTCGTGCGGCCCACAGGTTTTATTCAGAAGTATACTTTTTAAAAGAATTTTTTTCAACTTGGTTCTACCAAACCATCTACTCTCCACACTATCAGACCTCGAAGGCTGTCCAATTAGCCAAGGCAAATACAGCACCCGGCTCTACGTTTTCCGCAATTCAGAGATCCGGCCCCCACCTTAGGAAAAAGCTAGCCGGCCGCCCTCTCGGCCCAGTAGGGAGGACTGAAGCCCCATCCTCAAACTCTCGGACAGAACTTTCATTAAGACGGGGACCGTGCAGAAACGGGTCGGGACCTGGAAGCCCAGCGAACACGGCGGCGCTTAAGGCTGGGTAGGGACACAGCCCGGGGGTCTGCAGGGGGCCCGCACCACCCCCCGCCTCGCTGGGCCGGCCGCAGAGGCAGCGAGGCCCCCTTGCCCGCGCTCCCGCGGAAGCTGCCCCCCGGCGACGCTCGTTCCCGGAAGGTGCGGGGCCCATCCCGCGGGGATGGGGGGGCCGAGAAGGATTTAAGGGTCCCGAGCGGCTCCGCGAAGCCCCCGGGGCGGCAACGAATCGAGCGCGCCAGGCGCCGCCTCCCCTCCCCCACCCGCCCGCGGTCGCCCGACCCGCACTGAGACTCGGGCGGGCATGGGGGGAAAGGGGCCGCGCGGGGCCGCTGCGGGGGGACGGCCAGAAAATCGAGGGCCGATCCCCGGAAGGAGGGGGAGTGAGTTGGGGCGGAGCGAGCGGAGCCCGCGGACAGGGGGGCGGGGGCCCCCGAGGGGGGGCCAGCTCGCCGAGGGGTGGGGGGCGGGCGAGACCTGGGTTCCCTGGGGGAGTAAGAACCCCAAAAGACCCGGACCCCCGGGCAGCAGAGGGGGCGGGGGCCGATCCTGCCGCGCGCGGATCAGGGGGCGGGGCGCGGGCCGCCAGGCCCCGGGGATTAGGGAAGCAGCGGGGGCTGCGCGGTGCGGAACCCGGTCCGAGGGGGGCCGCGAGCCCCCGGGAGGGGGTTGGGGATTCCTCTGAGAGAAACCGGAGCACAGGGCAGGCGGCGGCTCAGGCGGCGTCCCCCGGGCGGGGAAGGACCAAGCAGGCCAGCGGGGAGGGGCTGGGGGCGCCGACAGGTCTGGGGGCTACCGAAGCGGGAGAGGGGCGTCCCCGGGCCGAGCAGTGGGAGAGGCGGCCTGAGGAAAGAGCGCGGGGAGGACGCGGACGTCGGGGAAAGGGACACCGAGGCGAGGACTGGTGGGCAGGACCAGGCGCGGGCCCGAGCAGGGGGCGGGGGTGGGGCTCCCGGGGGGGCGACCAGGGAAGGTGGGGGAGGGGAAAGCGGCTTTCGGGGAGACTGGGGTCCGGATTCCCGGGGAGCGCAAGATCGCGGTGGAGGGGGTCGGGGGCGTTTCGAGAGCTGCTCTCACTCACCTCCGGGTGGAAGGCGGCGGCGCAGGAGTCGGAGTCCATGTTCCAGGCGGGGGGCGGCGGCTGCCGGAGTGCAGGGCCCGGGATGTGGCCGAGGGGCCGCGGCACCGCTCGGGGCTGGGGGCTCCGGCGGCTGCGCAGGCTGAGGGTAGACCTGGGAGGGGTCGCCCCGGCCGGAGGAGATGGGGGGCTCGGCGTGTCGCGTCCCGGACTCTGTAATCGCAGACCGGCGGCTCCACAGCAGAACCGAGTGGGCGACGCGGCCCTCGCGGCCGGCGCAGCGGGAGAAGCGAGAGAGTCGCTGCGGGGGGCGGCGGTAGCGGCGGCAGCGGCGGCGAGCGGGAACCCGACCGGCTCCCCGACCTGACGCCCAGTTCGGCTCGTGTCTCGGGAGGGAGGGCGGGAGAGCCGCGAGGCCTGTCGGGAAATGTAGTCCGGTGGCGACTGGAAGGCGGGGGCGTGGCGCCAGCTGAGTGCGGCGCATTATGGGGGTCGTAGTTGCCGCACGGCCGGAGCGCCGCACAAAAGCTGTCCCGGGGACTCCAACCCCCATGGGGCTCCGCGGCGGCGGCCGGTGTGAGGGGGCAGTGTCCTTCCAGCTTCGGCTGCTCGAGCGGGGGTGGGGCGGGGGCAGCGCCGGCCCGGCCGCTGGGGGGAGGGGCGGCGCGGGCCCCAGCGCTTTGGACTCCGCAGGCGGGGTTGGCCCGGGCGCCGGGGGTGGAGCTGACGTTCTGGGTCGCTAAGGGCGGAGGCAGCAGCAGCTAGCGCCTCCTTTTTCTCCTCAGACGCTTGGGGCTTGCGCCCCTTTGTGGGGCGGCGTCCCCGAGGCCCTGGCGGGAGTGGGGGGTGCAGGGTAGGCGGGGGCGGGAGTGGGGGCGGCGGGGGCGGGGCGTGACGTAGCCCGTGCCGGGCGGAGCGAGTTCGTTTCCGCCGCTGCGGTGTCCTCGCGGGCCTCTCCCGGCTCGGGGTCTGCGCGGACCGCGGACGGATCCCGGCAGGGCTAGGGCTGGATGGGTTCTTTCTGCCGGATTTGCTTTTGGGGGTCGAGTTAATGTATTTTTTTAAAAAAAAGTCGATACCAGCGTTGTCAGTGTCTTCAGGATGTTTTCCTTAAATTCGTTTTTTTGTTTTCGCCTTCGCTTAACCTTGGAACCGCCCCTGTTTTCTGACTTTTATTTCCTGAAAATATCCTTCATACGATGACAACGGTGGAGGGTGAGGTGGAAACGTGGTGTTCGATATTTGGTATTAACGTTTACATTTACCTTGTTTATTAATGGTTAAGGATTGGCAGTGTTTGAATGCCACACCACCAACTGTTTTACAACTTTCTGTGTTGCAGGCTTGACTCTGAACACTTTGATCTTGACTGCCCTGATGAAATAACCAAAAGCCAGCCTGGTGTTCTCTAACGTTGTTAATAACCATTTGAAAGGAAAAAGTGTATATACAAAATGCAGATGATGCCATAGCTTCAAAGATAAACTGTTAAAGGAGAGTGACCAAAAAAAAAAAAAAAAAATGAGTCTGACTTTGCCAGCCTCGGTAGAGTGCGGTGGGGTCACAGCTCACAGCATCCTCAGACTCTTGGGCTTAAGCGATTTCTCTTGCCTTAGCCTCCCAGGAGAGTGACAAAATTTTTAATTTAAATCAGAAAACAGACTGTCAGACTTAATGGAAATATGAGGTTGAGAGCAAATGCTAAATTAATTGGCTTTTTTTTTTTTTTCGGAGACAGTCTGACTTTGTCACCCTCAGTAGAGTGCCCTGGATCAGCTCACAGCAACCTCCAATTCCTGGGTTCAAGTGGTCCTCTTGCCTCAGCCTCCTGAGTAGCTGGGACTACGGGTGACCTCCACAACACCCAGCTATTTAGAGATGGGGTCTCACTCTGGCTCAGGCTGGTCTCCAGCCGGTGAACTCAGGCCATCCACCTGGCTTGGCCTCCTAGAGTGCTGGGATTACAGGCATGAGCCACCGCTTCCAGCCTATTACTTGGCTATTGACATTTCAGTGGGTAAAATAATTCTGATGAAAACAGTGGTTAACGGAATTTATCTTAGAAAGCTCTGACGCCATGGTACTTTATACAGAGGGTGACAAAGTGAGACTGTCTCAAAAAAAAAATAAAAAACTGGCTCAGTGCCTGTAGCTCAAGCAGCTAAGGCGCCAGCCACATACACCTGAGCTGGCTGGTTCGAATCCAGCCCGGGCTGCCAAACAATGATGGCTGCAACCAAAACATAGCTGGGCATTGAGGGGGTACCTGTAATACCAGCTACTTGAGAGGTGGAGACAAGAGTATCGCTTGAGCCCAGGAGTTGGAGGTTGCTGTGAGCTGAGATGCCATGGCACTCTACCCAGGGGGACAGCTTGAGGCTCCTGTCTCAAAAAAAAAAAAAAAAAAGAAGGGTTGTGCCTATAGAGCAGTGGTTATGACTCGGGCCACATTCACTAAGCTGGTGGGTTTGAATCCAGCCAGGGCCAGCTAAACAACAATGACAACTGCAACAGAAAATGGCCAGACATTGTGGTGGGCACCTGTAGTCCCAGCTACTTGGGAGGCTGAGGCAAGAGAATCTCTTAAGCTCAAGAGTTGGAGGTTGCTGTGAGCTGTGACTCCATGGCACTCTACCCAGGACAACATAGTGAGATTCTGTCTCAAAAAAATAAATAAATAAAAAACAACTAAGAAGGATATTATCCTACTGGTAGTTTAAAGATGTAAATACCAAAAAGAATTACTGCTAGAGGTAAAACCCAAGTGAAAGAAGAACTTTTTTATATCTGGTCATTATTCCCTATGAGAAATTTTTCACAGAATAAACTAACTCTTAAAAAAAAAAATAAACATTAACTCTTCCCCCAAAGACATTAAGAAACTGATTTTCAAATTTCAAGTAATTTAAAGGATTAGCTCAGAATAATAATGGACTTACTGACAAAACTAAGCCTAAAATTCAGGGACTTATATTGGACTCCTAAATCAAGCTAAGAACAGAAAATCCCATACTTGGATTGTGTCATGTGACAGACTTTCGGTCCTAAGTGTTAACTCTTGCTCAGACTGGGTATTCAATTGGAATGTCTGGGATATGTCCTCAGAAAACAGTAATTTTTAGTACATAGGTGTGATCCCTACCTTCCTGCCACTCCAGTGCAAAAACTTCATAGAGAAGGACAGTTTTTGTCTCTCTTTCAGTTTCCCTTAGAAATTTAGACATTCCTATTTACCATCCCTTCTTTAATCTCAAAGACAAGTTTTGCACTGTGCCAGTATCATAGCTAATGATACTTATCTGAGATGCAATTATTGCTAACTGAAAACTTTTCCCAGTAACCGGCCCATGAAGACTGGCAATATAATTAGCATTGGCAATTCTTGACAGTCTACATGGGCTTAACAACTACAAAAAAAGACTATAACCCAGTACACCCAAACTCAATAGTTTAATATGTAGCTGTGGAATAACAAAGTTTATTTTCCCTATATGGTAGGCTAAGGTTCATTCAATATCTCTACTTTCTCAAGTGTCCTGTACTCCTGGGTTCCAGGGGGTAAATCAAGAATTCCTTTATTAATTCAAGAGATTAGCCACAGTAGACAGATCCTTCTGGTCTATGACTTTTTGTTTTCTGGTTTAAAAAAACAAATTATACCCGCTGCTGAATACTAATTCTCAGATGATTATAGTTACTTAGGAGAGGTGGAAAAAAGCCAACATTAACACAGGTTGTGACAAGTTTAAAAATACTAATAATACCATGGTTTCCCAGTAAGTAACTTGAGAATGTGGTTATTTTAATTTGAGTTACCAAATACAAATATAGTGGCTGGG